TATATATATATATATATAAAGGTGTTTTAAACCCTTCCCACACTATTGCAATATTCTAAACAATGTTTCTAAACTTTAAACGCTCTAAAAGAGCACAGAATGTTACAATCTCCCTCTCTCTGCTTCCTGCTCTCAGCCAACTGCAAGTGTTCTTGGCCACGCCCACTTCTCCGCTCTGCACGAAGAACAGCTGATCAGCTGCAGCAGGAAGCTTATCCTGCAGTGTGAGCTGCACAAAGGTGCAGCAGGTGCTAAATAATTTGAAACAATTAATTTTAAATTAAAATTCCTGCCGATCGTGCGGCGCATCCATCAATCAGCCAATTGTGTCACGTCCAATCTTATTTTGAAAAACCGTGATAGAGCGAGTCAGCGAAAAACGAACCGTGAAGTAGCGAGGGCCTACTGTATTTAATTATTCACGTTTCTTAAATACAATTAAAAATTATTCGATATCAAATTATTCACCTATATTAAATATAATGCACGTCAGTCCATTCGATACAAAGAAAGTGTTTGTTGGTTGATAGTGACAGTCATGACGTGCCTGGACAGTTGGTAGTACTAACTCAACTCAGTGGCCCCATTTACCACCGGTCAACGTGGACGGATTATTTTTACCCAAAAAGTTGTGGGCTTTACTCAAAGGCTACAGACGTGTTGCTCTGATCTATAACGCCTGTCTGAACATGAATAAAAATCAAACACTAATTTCATAAGAAAAACAAATTAAACGTATTATTATTTCCTCTAATTACATTGATTCAATTTAAGTTGTCATTCTAATCTTAGACATGAATGTTCCAGACAAAGTTTATGAGCAGAGACAAAATTAAATGACGACTGAGCAGATCATTGTCTGTATTTTAGCTCTTGGTGGAGAACGAGCAAACCATTCTCAGAAATGGTGAATGCTGAAATGAGCTAACAGCAGGAAAAGTACTCTTTGAGGACGCGATAGTTTAATTAGCTCACAAAACTAGGCAGAAAAAAAAGGATGTAGGTGTAGCTTGAAGCAGCCTTGAGATAAAAAGTGAAAATCACTGTTTAAAGGTATGCACAGGTCACAAACGCACCGGAAACTGACTCAAACAGGAAATGATGCATCATAATGTGCTGAAGTGAAACCAGACAAGTAGATCTTTTAAAGGCTGATGGTGAAGGACAAGTAGTAAATATATCATTTTGATACCTTAAGTGTCTGGAATTAAAATACTTCCAAAAGCCAAAAACGGTCAAAAGTTTTCCACCTAAATGTCAGGGACGATTAAACAGAAAAACAACATAAATATAGAAAAGGACGTCGTTTACTTTGCATCGTGTACACAGAAAAATGCAAAGGCCTAAATGTTCATTCACAGCTATTAAAACTTTGACACGGGGGTTCTACGGTTGCCTCGCCAAGAAGGTCACAGGTTCGCTTCCCGGCCTTTCTGGCTGGAGTTTTTCCGTTCTTTTTCCGTTTTCTTTTTTTCAATAAACATGTATATTAGGTTAACTGAATTATTATCTAAATTATCACTACGTAAAATAGGAATCCAAACTGCTGGGAGACAATGCAGTCGTGGCCGGACAGCCATCTTTTTTTCTTTAAAGAAAAATTTGTTTAAAAAAAAAAAATTTTTTTTATTGTCACAGGAATGGTTGTCTCTATGCGTCACGCTGATGGACTTGCACCCCCCCCCCCCCACACACACACACAAGTGAAAATACGCGAAGTAGCGACGTTATAGTCATTTTAGTATTTACATAATTTTAAGGCTTGAGAAACCCTTCCCACACTCTTGCAATGTTCTAAACTCTTAAACCTACTAATTTTAACAACATATTTATGTAGCTACTAATTTTACTTATAAACGCGCCCCCTCAGAGGTTCTCATCGGGCAGTTGAAAAAGATGAAAAATGGGCCCATGGGCTCCAGATAGACTGCTGGACCTTCGGCACGCGTCCCCACTCAGAACATGGGTGGGCTACCATTGCTCAAGGTTCACTGATAGATCTGGAGGTCTGGTTCTGCTCTGGTTCTGGTCCGGTTTGGTGGGTTCTGTTCAGCTCCCTGCATCTGCTGGGCACTGAAGTCACAGAAATAAGCGCCAAACGTTTTCTGATCAGATCAAAACTTTCCCTCTAGTATTTCAGCAGAAGGAAACGGGGCTTCTGAGTGGGGCCCTGTTGGCTTCTGGGAAATGTAGTTGTCACGAGCGAGAATACAGAGTAGACTTACTGAGAGAAAACTACAAAATGGCGGCGCCTGTCTGATGTATTTTATTTTTTTGTTAACTTTTTACTGTACATTATCCAGTACTGTCCCAATCACGTAATATTAAAGCTGACAATCATGTCGTGTACAATTTATTATTTTTTGTACAATATTATGTACTGTACATCCACAAACCGCGATAGAGCGAGTCCGCCAAAGTCAAACCACGAAGTAGTGAGGGACTACTGTAATTTTAAAAAATGGATAAAGGATGGACTGACTAACTTTGACATGTTTAACAATAAAAGCCGTCTGGGTAAAGAATCTTGTAATCTTTATAGGTCTCATTAAAGAAGGATAAGTCTTGCAGTCATCTCCTAACACCCATATTTTAAAATGTCCTTCTGTCCACCAACAGGCGGTCCAAGGTACAGGCTTGGCCTTCATTGCCTTCACAGAAGCTATGACCCATTTCCCTGCCTCTCCCTTCTGGTCCGTCATGTTCTTCCTCATGCTGATTAACCTTGGCCTCGGCAGCATGTTCGGAACCATCGAGGGGATCCTCACGCCGCTGATTGATACTTTTAAAGTCCGCAAGGAGTTTCTAACAGGTCAGAATGTATTCAAAATGTTCTCATACAGGAACCAAAGGAGATCTTTGGGATAGATTTGAATTTAAAGGACACAAAGCTGTACTGTTAATTGAAAGCAGTTAAAGACAACCCTAGCTGTACGGTAAAACATGTGGAGTTGTTATCAGTGTGGCTCTGCCTTGACCCCTCTGCTGATAAAAACAAAATGATTCAAAGTCAAGGAGTTGTGAAATTGACACAAAATGCAAAGGCAACTTTTAGTTTGGAGGTTTTATTTAAAAAAAAATTACTACTCTTAAGTCTAAAAGGTGGATTTATGAGCTTTTGTAACTTTAGTTACTGTATTTACAAGATCCAATTTGTAGAAAATGGATTTATTTAATTCTTAAGACAAATAAAACTTCCACCACTCATTGGTGCTCACGGTTCTGACCCAGGCCTGTACCTGTCAGATGTTTCTCATAATGAACTACCTTTGTGTGTTCCTGCAGTGGGATGCTGCGTGTTAGCCTTCTCCATTGGCCTCCTGTTTGTCCAGCGCTCAGGGAACTACTTTGTGACGATGTTCGACGATTATTCAGCCACTTTGCCTCTGCTCATCGTTGTTGTCCTGGAAAATGTGGCCATTGCTTGGTTCTATGGGATTGATAAGTAAGGACACATTTTTACATAGAACAAGAAAACATAACATCTAATAGCCTGCTTGTGCAAAACCCAACATTTCTTCTAGATATGTAAACGTTATCCGTTCTTCTGGGTCATCGTCATGTTCTCAGATTCTTTGAAGACCTGAAAGACATGCTGGGCTTCACTCCGTATCGGTTCTACTATTACATGTGGAAGTACATCACCCCCATCCTGCTGATGGTCCTCCTGTGCTCCAGCTTCATCCAGCTGACCATGACGCCGCCCAGCTACAGCGCATGGATAGAGGAAGAGGTACGTTTTCTGTCTCCACTTTCTGAAATCTTCTTAAAGCAAGAAGTGATCCATCCATCCATCCATTTTCTTTACCCGCTTATTCCATTTTTGGGTCACGGGGGTCGCCGGTGCCCATGTCCAGCAATCACTGTGCGAGGGGCGGGGTACACCCTGGACGGGTCGCAAGTCCATCACAGGGCCACATAGAGACAAACAAGACAAACAACCATTCACTCTCTCACTCACACCTAGGGACAATTTAGAGTTACCAATCAGCCTAACATGCATGTTTTTGGTCTGTGGGAGGAAACCGGAGCACCCGGAGAAAACCCAAGCATGCACAGAGAGAACATGCAAACTCCACCCAGAAAGGCCCCTGGACCGGGGTTTGAACCAAGGACCTGCTCGCTGAGAGGCAGCAGCTCTACCAGTTGCACCACCGTGCTGCCCGCAAGAAGTGATATAAAACAGAAAATAAAGCTGCAACTAATATTAGTTTTAATGGGTTGGATTATCTTTTTAATAATTAGGAAAGCTAATATATATATATATATATAGGGGGGTGGGCAAGCAGAAGCTTCTAGTTTACGTATTCTCCAGAATCAATTTAAGATAAGTTGGCCAGTCTGAGGCCAGCGTAGAGGCCAAATTCAGATAAACAACAATTGTTCGGGCCGCCAGACTCTGTTTTCAGTCTGCCTTCAAAGTTCTGCTGGTACACTCAATGGTGAATCCAAACAGCCAGAATTAGTGGACATTCTGCCTGGTCCATGCTCGATTTAGCATTCTTCAAGATTGAATCCTTTATGCTGGCGAGTTCCAGGAGCCGCAAGTGGCCTACGATTCTCAGAAATCATGTCCAGCTTGCGGTTGCGCTCGGTGAGTATATGAGTCTGAGCGCTCGAAGCACAAATTAATCCTTCACATAAGGCTGGCAGCTTTAACATGGTCAAAACTGCTGCCGATGTCTTCTTAATATGTCGATGTCCTAGGTATCCACCGCTTCCAAAAAGTAGAACCCCTGTTATCATAAATCCAATAATGTACACATCTTCTACGTCCTCCACGGAGAGCACAGATAGGCACATCATCTTCCACTCACCCCAGGAATCAATGACATACCCAGCTGCATGGGTCCGTTCAGGGCATGAGGGCTCTCCAGCTCCCTGTCGTCTGGTAGAAAAAAATTGATAAATTGCGTTAAGGGACCATCTGACCAAGTCCATAATAATTTTCGATTTGGAAGATGTGTAAAGAGAGGCTCTGAGGTTGACAGGACAAGAGAGCAAAAAAGCAGGAGAGAGGGTAAGAGCGACCGTCTTCGCTGAGAGTGAAAGAGACAATGGAATTCAGGATGTCCATCTCAGCTAATGGATCTTTTAAAACAAAACATGTTTACAACACTGTCAGTTTTACAAATATCAACTTCAACTTTAGCATAGAACTAGCTGAGAGGCATTCCCAACATGTACTTTGAGCGGTACACAGCAAGCATTTAGCTTAAACTGTCACAAACTGTGGGGGTGAACCTTGTTTGGTCAAATTCGATGCCACAGCTCTTCCACCTCAGTCAGTTTTACAGATATTGAGCTAAAATGTGGTATGGTACAATATTTCATTGTGGGGTACAACATTCATCAACAACGCACACTCCAAGCACTAACAGATCATGCCAGACCTTGTGATATTGCTTCAGATCGTTCATAATGGTATTTTTGATGTTAGTCCACTATGATTATTTCCAACATTAGATCAGATTAGTTGAAAGCTCTTGCCATTAAATGAGGTGGGTAATGTGCATTTCTTCAGGCACTGTTTGGACTTACATTTTTGGCAAAAGGTCTGATAAGTACAAAGAGGGAAATTGCAACCATAATCAATGCTGTACTGATAACCTGATACCTGCTGTTTGTCTGTCTGTCTGTCGCCTGCTCACCACAGCTTGTTTTTCCTCAACTCCTCCTTTCAGGCCATAGAGAGAACCCTTCGCTTCCCTCCGTGGGGCATTGCAGTCTGCATCACCTTGATGGTGGTTGCCATCATGCCCGTTCCTGTGGTCTTCTGTCTGCGCTACTTCCACATTGTCGACGAGAACAACAGCGGCCTCTCCTCCGTCTCCTACAAGAAGGGTCGCGTCATCAAGGAGAGTCCCCAGCCAGAGGAGGACGACGACGCCAGCCTGATCCACGCCAAGTCTCCCAGCGAGGCGCCCTCGCCGATGCCTGGCAAGAGCATCTACCGCAAGCAGAGCAGCAGCGGAGGCACTGATGCAAACGCGGCACCCAACGGTCGATATGGCATTGGGTACCTGATGGCCGACATGCCGGACATGCCTGAGTCGGACTTATAGACTATAATAGCAAACCCTGCTCAGCCATCCCTCCTCCGTCATCCTTTCTGTGTGCTTTAAGACATCCGTATCATCGTTGTAAATTCCTTTTGCAATGTTTTGTTAAATTTCTTTGTAGATAGCGTAGCTGCTTTGTTACTTCTTGTCTCTGAAACTTATGTGACTGTATACCTTAAAAACAAAGGATGGGAGTAAGTACCGTCCTTGCCCAACCCTCAACTAATTTGTTCTAGTACACCCCAAGCTTTCCTTCCTTCCAGGCTTTGCCCCCACCTCCCTGGAAATCCTGCTGGAGAGAATGCTATGATGTTGATGCTCCAACAGGTCTACTTGAAGAAGGGCCTGTCATGGAGCAGGTCAGAAAAACCTGTCTTTTGGAGCTGTTAGCAGTATTACCCAAGTCCCTTACTGTGAAATAATCATGTAAATTCTAATTCTAACAGACAAACAAACCAATAAGTATTGAGCTCAATCATGATGCAAGATTAAATGTTATTTTTGGCCAAAGTTCAAGTCAGCTTTACTGAAACAGCTAGAGGGTTTTTGAATTCCTGCTCCCATGATGTCTGAGACAAAAGTGTGCCTAAGTCATTTATATTTGTTTATAGAATACATGTTGTAAATTTAAAGTATTCTTTAAATACAATATAAATATATATATTTATCGTCATAATTTGGATATGAAAGCAGTGTTTTTAAGGTTCAGAAATACTTCGAATCCCTAACTCATGAAATTGTTGTTTATTTTTTAAACTAATGTCCTGTCTGTCATTGATTACACATTAATTTTGTAAATATTTTTTCCATAAAATGGCTTCAAATGCTGTGTCAAGATTAAAGATCAAAAGTGACCATATTATTAGATTTTTGACTGTTTTTCTTTTTAGGCAACAGGTCTTCTTGGGTCTATTTCATATAATTTCTAAAATTAAATACAATATTGTAAAATGTAGAATAAGGGTCCCAAAAATGGTGGCCTGTAGGCCGGACCCAAACATAAAGTTCTATCTGGACCTAAGTTGGTTGTTAAGATTCATCCATCCATCCATTCATTATATCTTTCCTTGCCTCTTCCTTTTCGGTTCACTGGTGCCTATCACTGTGCGAGGCGGGGGACACCCTGGACAGGTCTCCAGTCCATCACAGGGACACAGAGACAAACGAGGCAAACAACCATTCACTCTCTCACTCACACCCAGGGACAATTTATATTTACCAATCAGCCTAACGTGCATGTTTTTGGTCTGTGGGAGGAAACCGGAGTACAAAGCTTTTCCGAATTTCACCCTCACTAATCTTTCCCACTTCCTGGTCCACAGTTTCTATGACCTCTACTCTTCTTTCTCTTCCCATTCTCTTCATTCATTAGCTCATCAAAGTACTCCTTCCATCTTCCCATCACACTGTCTTCACTGGTTAGAACATTACCATTCCTATCTTTAACAATTCTAATCTGCTGCACATCCTTTCCAGCCTGATCTCTGTCTCACCAATCAGTACACGTCTTTCTTGTCCTATTTAGTGTCCAGCCTCCCACACAGCTCATCATACGCCTTCTGCTTGTTAGCTACCTCCCTCTTTGCTCTTTATTCCTGTCTCCTCTCTTCAGTCCTCTCACTGTCATATTTCTTCTCGGCTAACCTCTTTCTTTGAATAACATCCTGCACTTCATTATTCCACTACCAGGTTTCCTTATCATCCATTCTCTGTCCAGATGACACTCCAAGTACTTTCCTACCTGTCTCTCTTAATTGCTATTGTTGTAGTAACCCAGTGATCTGGAAGCTCTTTCTGACCACCCAGAACCTTTAACAGCTCCTCTCTGAATTTCTCATTCTTCCTTCTTCAGCTTCCACCATTTCATCTTCTTCTCTGATTTTACTCTTTTTCTCTTCTTCACAACAGTCATTCTACACAACCATCCGATGCCGTCTGGCCACGCTCTCCCCTGCCACAACCTTACAGTCTTCAATCTCCCTCAGGTTTCCTCTTCTACACAGATGTAGTCGACCTGCGTACTCCTTCCTCCACTCTTATAGGTCACTTTGTTCCTCCCTCTTTTGGCAAAATACAACTTGAAAGGACAAAAGGATGAAAACAAACTTGTTTGTCACTAAGAATCACCTTTTCTAGAAAATAATTCTTTAGACTGACCTTGCTGAATTTTAACTTAAGGGCACTGGTTATTTTCTATCATCCATCCATCCTCTTTTACCCGATTCTTCCTTTTTGTGTCGTGGGGGTCACTTGTGCCCATATCCAGCAGTCACGGTGCAAGAGGCGGGGGACACCATGCATGAACAGGTCGCAAGTCCATATGTCAAGAGAGACAAGACAAACAACCATTCACACTCACACCAATTTAGAGAATGTTTTCCAATATTAACCTACAAAAATAATGAAGTAATGGTACACAAAGCAGCAACCAAACTTTTGAGAACAAAAACTCACAAATGCCAAACAGAAACAAAGAGTCATAATTGTATATAAAATAACTTTTATTGATTGTTTGTGTCACAGTAACTGAGTAAAATGTAGAAAAAATAGCAAAGATAACATTCAGATATTAAAATAATAATTACATTTAGACTTGTAGTGGCTTTTTTCCTTTCTTTATAAACTCCGTTTTCTATTGTGCAAACAAGTATTTCTATTTATAGCAATAAGATAAGATTTGTTTAGGACAAATCCACCACGCTCAGCCCTGATACAAACCTGAATGCATCAATGTCCCTTTTAAAAAACTGTCACATCACAGAATTTAACGAATTCCCATAATCTGATAAAATATGCTTCATAACGGAAGTGTGTCATGTTAACAAACAAACAAATGTTAAATAGGATCGTTCTGACTGAAAACTGATAAGTGCAAAAAATTCAGACACCAAAATAAAAGTGTGACCGAAGACTCCTCCTCTTTTGGTTGACTGTAAAAAATAAATGAATAAAAAGAAGTTAGGGTCAGTAATATGATGTATAACTGTAACAGCTGTCAGCATAATCAGACCTAACTGACCTAAACAAACACTAAAATGTCTATAACTCTGACAGCTGTGCAGATGTTGAGGTAAAAATATGGCACAGTTGTAGCTGAAGGTCATTCACAGCCCAAACTCTGAGATCTTGCAAGAGTCGTTTCTTGGAGTTTCATGAAAACTACTGATTGTAGGTACTTTGCTTAAACCAGACATACAAGCAGTACCTTTATACGTACATAAATTTGTTCTCTGTGTGCTTTTTGTATCCAACTAAAAATGAGACTTAATGAAATTCCTCGTGGAAAAAAGACAAAACACCAAATCTTTTGATTGCAGAATACTATGGAACGGGATATTGTAGAGGGAGGAGAAAACACTGATAAAGAAAAAAATATATTCTTTGAGCAGTTGGGACAATGTGCCAATCCAAAGTATATACCAGAACTATAAACCTTTCATTCATTCAACCTTTATTTATACAGGTTAATCCCATTGAGCCTCGAGGACTCATTTACAAGAGAGACCTGATTTTAACAAACAGTGAAAACAACAAAGACAACAGACAATTATAAAGGATGAATACAAATTTAATTTTTAACAAGTGAAAATTAAATGGTAATTAAAAGGATCATTAAAAGGAAAAGTAGCAAAAAATAAGTAGATTTTTTTAAGGTGCTGTATAATACTTAAAACAGGAACATGTCTGTATTGGTTTTCCCATGAATTTAGCAGATATTTGAAGACACTTAGAGAGGTCAAGGTCGAGAGCGTCAGATCTTTTTGCAACATATTCCAGGAAACAGGAGCAGAGTAGGAGAAGGCCCTTTTGTCTAGTTCAGTCTGTACTGAGGGAACACTGCAGGTAATAATGTCCTGAGAGCGCACGCTGTAGCTGCACTCACGCAGAGACATGTAGGAGATGTATGAAGGCAGCAGACCAAGAAGTGATTTAAAGATGAAAATGTACCAGTGAAAGAGTCTGCATGAAGTTAATGATGACCAGTTAACCAGTGAATACTGGGTGCAGTGGTGGGTACGATAATCACAGCCAGTTATGAATCTTAGTGCACCATGATAGACAGCATCCAACATCTGCAGGGTGCTTGTAGGAGCGTTCATGTAAATAATGTCACCGTAATCAATGGAGGGAAGGAAAGTCACAGTTACAAGATGTTTCCTAGCATTCAGAGTTAGACAGGATCTGTTTCTGAAAAAGAAACCCAGTTTAACTTTCAGTTTCTTTACCCAGTTTTCCATGTGAAGCTTAAAAGAGAGATGTGAGTCGACCAAGATACCCAAATATTTATAGGAGGCGACAAACTCAATGGGGACACCATTTGAGGATAAAATCAGAGGAAGAACTGCTGGGACCAACTTCCAGTTTGAAAACAATATCCCTTTGTTTGTCGGCATTTAGGACAAGTTTGAGACGGAACAAATGTGACTGGATGATGTCGAAAGCGGATTGCAACTAGCGGCCCATGGGCCACTTTCGGCCCGCAGGTGACTTCAGTCCGGCCCACCAGTGAGCTTGTAAAAACTTAATGACTTTAATCGCTGGATGTCCGGCCCCTGAGCTGCTGGCTTTCAGTAACTGTGGCCCCCTGAGCAGTTTAGTTTAATAGCACTGGCATATACTACTAAATAAAACAAGCATTACGTGAAAGAATGCTGCTCAGCACGTCGAAGTTTCAAACAAACGTCTCATACAATCGCTTAGCGCTTAGGAGTACCTGTTGGGAATGACACTCAGCTACAGTCGCCTTAAATTTAGCTCTATCTCTGTAAAATTGATTGAATTATCACCTATTAACAAATTAATAAAATGTGATTTAAAGAAGCTACAGTTTCTAAAGACTTTTGGTCATTTGACAGTTTTAGTAAAACTTGTTACATTGAGTTACGAGGCTTCAACGATGGTTCAGTAAAATAATTCAAACAAGAAGAGACGGCCACTAAATGAGTAAAAAACCAAATAAAAAACTCAAACCTGTGCGCTCAGGCGTGGTAGAGCTGCTCTATCATCTTGGCTGCGATCCGCTCTCTCTTCTCACAGTGCTTCTTCAGGTCTTTGACCTCGTTCGGCAGCATGCTGTTCCACAACATCAGCACCGACTCCTCGTCTAAGGGCCCACACACACACGGATGAAGTCGCACAGCGAGACAACTGTTTTCCACAAGGACAAACAAGGACACTTCAGACTCACCATTACGATTCCGGTCTCGTGGGAGTCTTCGGCCCAGAACCAGCACTTCGCTCTTCCAGTTCCGTGTCTCTGATTGTGAAAAAGCAACAAACTGTTACACACAAATAAATAAAATAACACACACACGCACGCAGTGAGCAGCATGCCGAGGCATCTGCACACTGACGCTCCGAGGAACTGAATGTAAAACCAAACAAAAACCCAGCTGTTTCAATTATCTTTATTTTCTCTGCTTTTTTAGCTGTTTTTATTTTATATCAGTTCTCACACTCGCTGCTACAACCAACACAAGATATGACTGTCTTTGTGGTTCAGAGTCTGAAATACTGCTACATGTATGAGTTAGCCCTCGAGCTTCAATAAAATGACGGCAGGAAACAGTTTATTACAATTTATTCATTAAAGAGCTCCTTCTACCAGTTAAAATGATACTGTATTATTATTACAATTATAATTAATTATTATAATAATCTTTAAGTCCGTATGGAGCTGGTAACTTCATTTTATTTAGTTTGTATGTAATCTAAGTCATATGCTGCTCTATAATCTATAGTTTTTGCAGAAAATATTAAATTAAACTAATTGCACTTGCTGCGAAAATGTAGTGTGAATGCTTATTGTTGAAGAATGTGCTGAAAAACAGCTGAAATTAGCTTAAAGAAATGTTCTGAAATGTAGCTGAAATGGAAGAACAATCCTAAATTAGCAGAAGAAAGCAGAAATAGCACATATTTGCTGACTTAAGCAGAAAAGAGTACAAAAAATAGCAACTTTGCTAAAAAAAAAAAAAAAAAAAAAAAGCTGAAATTAGAAAAAACTGTTGAAAAGTAGCTGAAAAGGCAGAAAGAAGCATAAATTACCAAAAGGAAGAGGAAAAAAAGAGCTAAAAAACAAAAGTGGAATTAGCTGAAAAGGCTAAACTTAACATCAAAAGAGCTAAAAAGAAGCTAAAATTGCAGAAAAAGCTGAAACCAGCAAATAAAAGCTGAAAAAAGCATAACAAGCTGAAAATAGCATAAAGACGTTAATTAGGCTGAAAGTAGCAGAAATTAACATGGAAAACTTGAATTTATCTGAAAACAACTAAAATTAGCTAAAAAGCTAGCTGAAAAGGTAGAACAAGCTTAAATTAGCAGAAGGAAGCAGAAAAAACACGTTTGCCCAATTAGGCTGAAAGAAGCAGAAATGAGCATCAAAAGTGAAAATTATCTGAAAACCAAAAACCAAAAAAGAAAACTATATGAAATTAGCAACAACAAAAAAACATCCGAAAAGTAGCTAAAAAAGCAGAAAGAAGCTTAAATTACCAGAAGGAAGTGGAGAGAGCACAATTTTGTGGAATTAGGCTGAAAAAAGTGTAAATGAGTGCAAAAAATGTGGAGTTAGTCAAAAAAGCTCAAATCAGCATAAAAACAGCTAACAAGTAGCTGAAAATTTAGAAAATGCTGAAACTAGCTGAAATAAGCTGAAAGGAGCAGAAAGAGGTTAGAAGAAGCACAAAAGTGTTGTAGTTAGCAGAAAGAATCTAAAAGGAGCACAAAGCAGCTGGAAAAAAGTTTAAATTTGCAGGAGGAAGCTGAAAGAAGCTGAAGCAGAACAAATTGTGAAACGAGCAGTGAACGGTTGTAAACAGATCTAAAGATTTGAAGGATGTAAAATTAGCTAAATTAATTTCCTACGAGGAAAAAAGTGGCAGAAAAGGCTAAATATTTCAAAAAGCTAAAGTTGCAGCAAAACCAAAAATCACAGCAGGATTGTTCTGAAAGAGCTGAACGTTTTGATTTATGATTCGTTGAAATAGCACAAAAGTTGTGGAATGAGAAAGATGCTGATAAAAGTACAGAAGAAAAATGAGTCACAATAGTGTGAACGCTTCATAAACGTTCGCAGAGTTATCTCAAAAGCAGTAAAGGTCGAGGACCCACGCGTTAACGCAGACGTGATGGAGCGGATAGAGTCACACAGAGGCGCCATGACCAGCAGCGTCTGGTGTTTAGAGAGCTCCAGCAGCAGCAGGTGACCCCCTCTAGTGCCGATCCAGAGAGCTGCAGAGCTCTGCACCAGCAGGCCCTTCACTGTGGCCCAGGAGGGGGGCGCCTCAGAGGGCAGCGCCGCTCTGCTGACACGCCAGGGTCTGAAGCCGGCGTGAATCCTGTGAGGAGAGAGGAAAGAACATCTCACACAAAGTGACTCAAATGATCTGCACTCGTGAAGTGGATTCTGTGAGTCCGTGTGCAGCTGCAGGGCAGGTTCAAGTGTCCTGTGAGCGTGTACCTAATGATCTGAGCGCAGTCGATGCAGTCCACCATCCTCTCGCTTTTCTTGTCCCAGACTTCAACAGTTGTTGCCCCAGCTTTGCTTAAATACACATATTTATCTACAACCATTTGAGACACGCACGCCTCACCACTCACAGAGTGCTGCTGCCTGCAGAGAACACACACACACACACTACTGTCACCTTTAACAAGTTGTGAATCTGCTTTGTTTTTTATTAAAGCATAAATAAATGAATAATTAAGAGAAACTTAGTTTAAAGGGACATTCTGAAGACTTTAAGTGGGGTTCAGTTGTTAGCTTGTAAACAATGCTGTACCAGTTGTAGATACCTCTTTGAATAGTTTGGAAAATGAATTGAAGTCCAACAGGACGGATGAGCAAATGGCTAGTATAAATGTGGCCAAAACTAAAGTGGATTGATGTTTTAAAGAAAATCCAAGAGTGTGTCAACTATTCAAACACTTCTTCATAAAGCCTTGTGTCATAATCATTTTCACGTTACCTGGTTCTTCAGCACTCCACTCCCAAAATAATGTTGAGCAATGTAAATAAAAAAACTGATCTCATAAACTCATAAAACATACAACTGCACATGTACCATTTTTATTTTAAAAGAATAATGTTCAGAATAATAATCGGAATAATGTTTGTTCGGAAAATTCTGACTATCCCATTATCAGCAGTGCATAATAGCATTAAAATATGAGCAATATGTGTGCAATGGGCAAAGAGGAAAGCCAATACTGGATGGCTCTGATCTTCAAGCCTTTAGGGGAAGCTGCATTAAAAATGTTCTGGTTCTGTTCTGGACATTGCAAAAATAAAATGCTGTGAGATTTATTTTTAAACTTGAAATATTCAGGAATACTTCAGCTCACAAGGTGAAAATAGTGGCTGTACACTGCCTGATCTTGTGAATGTTGTATCTTCTAATCAAAAAAGTCCATGCTCAATAATCCAGGTATACAATCCAACATTTTTCAGTCAGGTCATCTGGACAGTTTCTTTTTTTTGTGCTGAAACGTTTCACCTTCCATCCAGAAGGCTTCATCAGTCAAGGAAACACACAACATAAAACTGATTCTTCCCCCAAACAGCTTACTCCAAAGTGGAACAAACCAGTTATGTTGGTGATAAGATGGTGTCTTTGACACGCCCCCTCCTCCGATGCCAGCCCTCTTCCTCATCAACAGTCATGTCAAACTGGTTCAAAACCAAAAAAGTTCATGCTCAATAATCCAGGTATACAATCCAACAATTTTCAGGCAGGTCTTCTGGACAGTTTCTTTTGTTTTTATTAGCTCTAGCTTTTATTAGCTGAGGATTATTGAGCATGGACTTTTTTGGTTTTGAACCAGTTTGACATGACTGTCGACGAGGAAGAGGGGCAGCACAAGAGGAGGGGGCGTGCCAAAGAAACCATCTTAGCACCAACATAACTGGTTTGTTCCACTTTGGAGTAAGCTGTTTGGGGGGGGAAATCAGTTTTGTGTTGTGTGTTTCCTTGACTGATGAAGCCTTCCGGATTGAAGGTGAAACGTTTCAGCAAAAATAAGAAACTGTCCAGATGACCTGACTGAAAATTGTTGGGCATCTTCTAATCATTTGACAAACTGGATTTGTGATACAAACGTTTAGATATGTCTCTTTAGGCAGTGCTTCCCCTATCGTTATACAAGCGGGGCGCCTCGCCCTGTCAACAGAACTGAGTGCCCCGCCTACTGAACCCGCCCCCTCAACAACTGGCGATACAGATGTAGCGTGGGACGCAACACAATCCTGCCAGCAAAAATGCTACAAACTCACTGGAAGGCGAGGTTTGCTCTGGTGTCGATGGACTTGCTGACGTCGTAGCGAACAGAGAAGGACATGATTTTAGTTCCACATCCGGCCCACACAGACTTGCAGTCCAGAGCGTGCACCGACCGACCCAAGCACACGAGCGGAGTGTTGACGTTCCCCACGATGAGAGTTTTAACTGGCGGGCTGTCCTCCTGCTGCAATGAGCAGAGCGAGGGAATTCTGGGCGTTACATTAAAGTGTTTTTACAGATTCGGGAAGCAGACGGTTTTAATCTGAGCACATCGAAAGGAGAGCAAGATAATCCTTTTGAGAACAAACTATATTTAACATTTAATTTACCATGAGTGTTGTATCTTCATAAACACTAAGGGTTCCATCTGCTGCTCCCACCAGCAAATAGTTCCTTCTTTGGCTGCAAAGAAAAAACAAAAGCAAACATCAAAATGGGACTACATTCATTCTGTATGAGAGGACTATAAGAAACATTTTAACCCAATTGCCCAAACATGTATTTTGATACACACAAGTGTTTTTAAAGCACCATAAAACACTGACACAGATTCACTAAAGGTTGGTGCATCCAGTGGGTCTAATTTCATATTTTGCTCACCTGTATTCTGAAATTTGTTCAAAATGAGAGCAAGTTTTGCACACCTGCTACAACTCTGCCACCTTTACAGGTATTGAGCTAAAACTTGGTGTAGCAGTCGCTGAGAGTCACCCTCAAAGTATAATCTGAGAAGTAACAGATTGAGCAATAATCTTGCGATTTTGCACTTAATTTTATTTTTCAAGATTTGACCAAAACAGCTATAGCTCCATCATTTTTCAACATCTCTCTGGCATGAAAGGTGATGGATGATGTGAATTCCTTAAAGAAATGCAGCCTTTCATTTTATTTTACTGTATAAAAAGATAATATTCAATTAAACCCTCTCTGCAGAGCAATAATTTTATCCAAATGTCTGCTGAACTTCTCCAGGCGTTCTTATGTGACACACTTGAGCTAAAGGAACAGCAGGAGTTGTGCTTTAACGGAGGCTTACGTGCGACTAGGATGCACGTGGAAATACAGCGAGGTGACGGCGTCTGTGACGCTCTGCAGGTGGTGCCAGGTGGACTCGTTCTGGGTGTTGATGAGCAGTAACGAGCCGGACTGCGTGCCTGCCGCCAACCAGTCACAAGCCTCGTTTGGGATCTGGACTGTCACCAGGCACAGGACGGGGCTGGTGTCCACCTCCTGGTTAAAAAAAGAAGGAACATATTGTGTTGCTTCTGAAGTTCAAGTGTTTATGATGCTCCAAATATTGACTCCTGTCACATAAATATTGTTTGAAACAGTTACGTATCAGTTTTGGTGTTGGTGTGTCGGTACCTGTGTGGTCACCGTGCCGGTGTCCAGGTCCACAGCAGTGATGAAGCCCTGCTTCTTGGAGCTGCTGCCCCCACCCATCCAGGCTGTGCGGCCGGATGAGGTGAGGCCAGAGCTCATGCACTGAGCACTGAACACCTGGGGAACCTCCAGCTCCCTCATCAGACACAGCATTTCCCCTGAATTCAGCCTGTCAAACACCTGCAGATGTTGAAGGAACAAACTCAAAATAGGCTTCTTAGTAATAAAAGTGAAGACTGCTGCTCAAATATGCTCACTGGCAAAAGGTTAAGCGCCTAAAAGGAATGGTCCAATTTGAATATACAGTACAGTAGTCCCTCGTTTATCACGGGGGATCCGTACCCTGAAGACCCACGATAAGTGAAAAACCGCAAGGTAGGGACAGTAGTACAAGTAGTAAGTAGTAGTTTATTCTAGTATTAAAAAAAAAAAAAAAAAAAAAAAAATATATATATATATATATATATATATATATATATATATATATATATAAAGGTGTTTTAAACCCCACATTCTTGCAAGATTCTAAACAATGTTTCTAAACTCTAATATGCTCTAAAAGAGCACAGAATGTCATGATTTCAGCTCTGTGCCTCAGCTGCTCTCAGCCACGCTCACTTCGCACGTTCTGGAGATCAGCTGATCAGCTGCAGCAGGAAGTTTATCCTGCAATATGGGCTGCACAAAGGTGCAGCAGGTGCTAAATACTTTAAAATAATTTACTTTAAATGAAAAAACCCATGCCGATCGTGCGGCTCATCCATCAATTACCCATTATGTGAAGTGTCCAATCTTATTTTGAAAAACCGCGATAGAGCGAGTCCGCGATAAACGAACCGCGAAGTAGCGAGGGGCTATTTTAATTTAATCCATAAATTTGTGGTGCTGTCACGTCTAAAGCGGGCTCTAGAGGGCAGCAGTAGCTGCACCACAAGTGGTGGTGTTATCAGGCAATTGCCAAAACATCCAATAATCAGTCAAAACAGTCAGAAAGACACAAAGAGTAACTTGCATGACAGCATTTACATCTTATAGTTGCATGAGGCTGTGTAACTGCCCTGCATGTGGGGTATACAGATATCAGAGTGCCCACTGTTGGACCCAATGGGTGTGTGAGGGCATCTACAGACTTCAGGTTCTGATCACTCAAGATAAACCCCACAAATGAAGGGTTATCATATTTTATACACAACATTATAGGACTCTATGACATCTGAGACTTCCATCCAGACACAGACATTGGACTCGACAATATCTCACGTCCTCCTACACTGTGCTTCGTTGACTGGCATCAACTGGACTAAAGGTTCACGGTCTCATGAACAGGCTTCCATTAACAGAGGACCGAACTGGTCAATGTTGTGGAGAAACACACCGGCATTACTCCTGGCATCATGGTATGTGGCGCCATGTGGTCTGACTTCAAGTCATCTCTAGTAGTGATGCAGGAGACCTGACGGCACAGTGCTATATCAATAACAACCAAGGTCTGCATGTCTTACCTTACTAACCATTGCACATGTTTCTATGGACTGCCTGCAGCGTGTTGAGGTTCTCCCAAGGCCAGCCAGGCCTCCAGTCTTTCCTCTGAGGAACATGTGAGATAAGCTCAGACATCAGGTTCCACCCAGAGCTGACCTGCTGGACCTGATATCCACTTGATCTGATTATTACCTTACAGTAACATGACCAACATGAGCAGTTTTGTTTTTGACCACTTCGCCTCGGTGCCTAACATTTTCTCACTGAGTAGATTTTGTCAGATCTTGTTCTCCCACTTTCAAAAATGATCACAGCGCAAGACATTTAAAACTGTATCGAATTACTTGAGCTAAAGTTTGCTCTCAGTTAATCAACAAATAAACCATAATCCATCTAAAAGTGTGAACAGGAAGTAGAATCATTCCAGCTACACGTCTCCAACATTTTCTGACAGCAGTTGAGTCAGAACAAAAACCCAGATCGTCTCGCTCCATCTCAGCTTGTTTCTACAACCCCCCCAGTTTCCAGCTGTAACAATGTTTTCAAGTCCTCACCTGATCAGAAGTGGGTCGATCTTGGGGGTTTTCCATCAGACAGTCCTTAATCAGAGCCTGAAAACTTGGCCACGGCGAACATCCGTAGTACTTTACTGCATCTGTGTACAAATATTCATTTAACTTGTTGTAATTTTGTTCTCAATGAAATGCCTTCAGTGGCCTCGATTCCATTTATAGATGACAAAACTATTTCAAAGTGATCTGCATTATCAATAATCCAGGTAGATACATCTCACAAGGTTGAGTCCGGTCTCCACTGAGTGAAGGTGGTGTCTGAAAGGTGACTGAAGAAGTCTTTTGGATAAAAGCCGAAACGTTTGAACAAAGAAGAATCTGTCCAGAGGAGCTGACTCAACCTTGTTAGATATTTCAAAGTGGTTTCTAAAAAGAATCAAAGTCACCAATATGAAATCATAAAAACAAATCTGATTTCAACTGTTTTTCTTTAATATGTCCTCAGTGCTTTGAATTTAAAGTATTACCTGGCAGCTTTCTCTGCACGGCAATTTCATCAAACTCGCTGGGGAACCTCATGCCATCTGAAATGCGCTCGCCACATGTCAGCAGGTCGTACAGCAGCAGGCCGAATGAGAACACGTCGGCCTGTTGGTTGTAGATCACGTTACCTCGGGCGACCTCTGGCGCTCGGAAACCTGTCAGACACACACTAAGTCTTCAATAATGGTTTGCTGCTGAGGCATCAAGACGTCACATCAAATAAAAACGTCCTGTATTTTCCAGCGTATAAGCCGCATCAGTCAAAAAAAAAGCATCATGAAGAGGAAAAAAACATATATAAGCCACTTCGGAGTAGAAGTCGCGTTTATTATGCGTCACCACTGATCCCTGGGGCATGTGGGCCGGTGTCGTGCCAAAAATCGATTGGCAGCCGCGGGAGCGCACACGGAAGGACTCGCTGTTGCATCTTCGAAATTTAACGAGATTAACACTTAGGTACAGGAACAACATATACGCCTACCGGTAGTTGTCAAAAGCCTAGAGGGCCTCTAGTGGCTGCAAATGGTAATGTAAAAAAAAAGTATATAAGTAGCAGGACCGGCAAATCTATGCAAAAACTGCGACTTATACGCAGGAAAATACGGTATCTGTCAGAGGTCTGGGTTTTACAGTGAGAGGGATACAGGCTTGAGTCCGACCTGGTGTGCCCTCTGAGCTCCTCACTCCCATGCTGCAGCAGTACTGAGCGATCCCATAGTCGGCGATTTTAGCGATCATCTCTGAGTCGGTCTTCAGGTTGAACAGGAGAACGTTGTGAGGCTTCAGGTCTCGATAGATGATCATAGCTGAGTGAAGGTACCTGATCACACAGATAAAATAATGGCTACGTGGGTTTGGTTTGTACATGGATCATTTTGGATTGTTAGTGGCCTCCAGTGACCCCTGGGTGATTTTCCTTCAGAGGGTGAAAATTCACTTTGCTGTTCCACTGTATGAACTTTGCCAAATGACACTGAGAGAATCAAAACAACACGCGACTTGTAAAATGTGATAAATCTTATTTTAGAGTATGATTATGCAAATATATTATTTACAACAAGAGGAGCCCTGATTTTTTAAATCAGGAAGAGAAAAAAAAAAGCAACCAAGACCAACATTTGTATTTTCCGATGAGTTCAAGTTCAAGTGTATTTATTATCTGAGGGGCAACTTGTTTCACAGTCAGTAGACACACAAAACATCCAGACTAGACACTGAGACATTAAAATAACAGAAATCATCAGTGTTCGTTGAGAAGCCTGACCTCTACAGAGATGAATTTGTTTTTCAGTCTTTGTTCTACATCCGGGCAGCAGATACCTGCATCCAGATGGAAGCAACCTGAACTCACCATGGAGTGGGTGATCAAGATCTGCCAGAATCAGCCTGGCCTTGTTCACTGACCTCGCCTTGTGTAGGTCATTGAGGTTCTGTAGGTCTATGTCAGCAGTTTTGCTGAAGCCTGATGAAGAAGCCTTAGTTGTATAGACACCGGAGTGACTTTAAGTATCTTTACAGACAAAATATGACAAAGACTAGAGAATATATACCTATGACGAGTCCCGGGTACGTCCAGTGAAACATGCTTAGAAAAACACCAGACGTAGACATCCTCATCAGTTGTCTACATTTATCTCAGATGACTTTTTTCAATGAGGTGGAACAGTAGCTAAGCTCAGTTTCTCAACTAATATACAAGGTTGAGCCCGGACACCTTTGAGTGGAACCTCATTTCAGCCGCTTGTATCCATGATCTTGTTCTTTCTGTCACAATCCAAACCTCATGATCATAGGTGAGGGTTGAAACATAGACAGACCAAAAAAAATCAAGAGCTTCACCACAACAGACTGGATTAAGGCCCTCATTACTGTGGTCAAATTGCCGACGTTGGTTCATCCCTTTGATCCATCCTGCTTTCACTCTAGAACCAGATTTCCAAACAAATATGTGAAAAATTAAGAATTATAAAAAAATCTAAAAGTGGACCAGATGTAAAAAAAAAAAAAACAGACTGGATTTGAGTAACCTTTGAACCCTTAGTCAGCAGAAGAGAACCTGTATTTACCTCCATTTTAATAGACACGGCCCCATAGACTTAAGAGACCCCCCTGCAATCCTCTGCTACAGTTTAAAACATAACCTGAAACTATTTTTACCCGAAAAGAAAGTGATACATCATCTATGCACATCTATGAACCATGAACTCATCTCATAGGACACCGTTTCTGGACAGATTAGTTAATGATTCAGATTGAATTGTGAGGAAAATATGATGTTAGATACCAAAAAGTGTCCAGGCTATCAGTAAAATAACTAAAACCGTACGTGTGTGACAGTATGGGGTTGTGTTTGTGGGATGCTTGTCCATGTGTTCATGCAAATGGGTATGATTAGAGTCATGAAAAGAATGTTAAATTCAAGTGGACATATTTTCCCTAGCCAGGGGTGCCCAATACATCGATCGCGATCTACCGGTCGATCACAAAGGTATTATGGGTAAATAGCATGGCATTAAAAAAATAGAGTCAGCCTATCATCCATTTATGAAGTTTGTCACTTGACACATGCAGGGCAGCCAGTCTGAGGCCCCGTTTACACGTGAAACGTTCGGCCATTCATTTACAGACAACAGACGTCGTTCTCTCTGAACCCTCCAGATCTCAGAGCGGAGATTTTGGAGGAACCCCACACAGAGGTGTGAAATGCTCTGCAAGTGAAGTCACATATGGTGGCTACAGTCCAAAGATTTTCTGCACTAACAATTGTTATAATAAACGGCAGAGAGACAAGTGTTTTTGTGCTGCTCACCCTTTTTCAGCCTGTAGGAGCAAAACTAATAAAATCCGGGCTGCAAAGAGACGTTAGTGTATTCACCAGTTTGGACATAACTGATCATGCAGACGCTTCATGCACAATGAATGCTGTTGAACCCAGCATCAGGGTTGCCAGATAAATTTAAAATGTCTTATTTACGCCCTCCTTTTCTGTGCACATGTTCAACAAACACAACAAACACCTCATCTTAGAATATCTTTACTCAGCACATGACAGTTTAGGTCAAAATACTATCATTTTAAAGCTACAGTACTTTAGTTCATAATGTCTTATCTGGCAACACGACTGATATGAAAACTACAGCGTTTTCGTGTAAACCTGCTCATTTTTTGTTTACATCCACAATAAACATTGAAAAAACACAAATGTTTCCAGAGGTTGTTCTCATGTAAACGGGGCCTTACAGTAGGTAGATCACTTTGACTTGGTCATTTTAAAAGTAGCTTGCATGCTGAAAAAGTGTGGGCACCCCTGCTGCAGCATATTTGTTTCCACTGTACTTTCACCTACAGAACACATTTAAAATTAATATACAAGCCCCCAAACAGACCACACACCAGACAAATCACACATCTGACATCCAATACAAATGTACCTGAGTCCATCAGCCACGTGCAGGGCAATCCTGTGCTGAAGCTTTTGGTTGAGGTTACCATTTTTGTATAGAAAGAGGGAATCCAGAGAACCTCTGAGAGCCAGCTCCATCACCAGGACCTGTGGAGCTGAGCCGGCTGCCAGCAGGCCCACCAGGCTGGGGTGTCGGAGACGACCCAGCACCACCAACTCCTGAAAATGCAGCAGCCGAGTTACTTTTTTTTAACGAAAGGCAGTCGGAATACGGTCAATCTGCCCTGAAAAAGGGTCCTGAGCATAGGTCTGTCACGAATACAAATTTTGCTGGGCGATGAATTGTCTCAGAAATTATTGCGATAAACGATAATATTGTTTGAAATTTGACAATAATTAGTCATTATTGTCAAATTGAAGAAGAAATGTTGGTTAATTTGTTTTGAGTGTAGTACCTTTTTTACCACCAGATGGCAGTATAAGACTGTTTGAACCGAAGGATGAATAAGGAGGGAGCGAGCAGCGTGTCTCTTGAAGAAAAATGGGAGGGAGGCCCCTTGACATGACATGGGCTGTCACTTTCCTTTTTTGGGTTCTCAAAATGGCAGACGCTCAGTGTGGTTTGAGCTCTTTAGCATAGCATTTTTCACACAAAGCTTTTAATAAAAATCCAATAAACAAGTTCTCAGCTTCTTTTTGCAGAGAAAAGCAACTTTTTAGACAAAGGCACGGGTTTCAACCGTGAATTCTGGAGCTTCGACAAGACGGAGGTTTTTTCCCCGAGGTCGGCCTGTTAGCTCGTAGCTTAGCTTCTCAGCATAGCTGCTTTTAACGATCCAAAAACGCGATTTTGGACGGTTAAAACTGATTTTAAAGAGAAAGGGAGGGGTCAGTGAAGAGCACCGGAGTTGAGCTTTTTGTCATCCGGTGTCTTCAGTAGAAAGAGAGAGAAACGAAGAAACGATAAAGCCGATAAATGAAAACGAGGTCGATAATTTTCATTTATCATGCGTTTAATTGACTTTTTGTTTATTGCGACAGGCCTGAACAGTTTTACATCCAAACTCTGCTGGACAACAGAGAAGCTAATCGTTATGTTACCGTTTCCCTTTAAACCACTGATGTGTGTCGTCTGTGACCCAACAACAGAAAGGACCTCACCTGTCTGAGGAGCCTGTGGATGTACAGCTCAGATGTGTGTCTGCTGAATATCTTCACAGCTGCTTCCTCGTTTTTATAAACTCCTCGATAAACTGTCCCAAAACCACCGATTCCTTAAAAAAAAATAAAAAATTGATTCATACATTTAAAACTGACAAAAGTTCAAAAATAAATAAAACTACTTTAGAGGAGTGAGCAAACAACACACAGTGTATTGTGTATATTGTACCTAGTCTGTTCTCGTTGGTCAGGTCTACTTCCAGCTCCTCCCGGTCTAGTATAGTTTCTGCAGGCTGGTCACTCAGAATCAAATCTGGGGCAATCTGTGAGATAGGTGTTTTGTAGCGGGGGTCTTCTGGGTTCACCAGCAAAAAATCTTGGATGGACAAAGATAAAGATGACTTGGAAGAATCAGCAGAGCCAAAACTGTGCATGTCGGACAACTGAGGTGGGAAGCTTGAGAACATTTACAAAAAACCACAAGAATTGTAGGTAATCTGATGCCAGCAGGACGAGTGTTGATCTTTTTGGGGAGGGGGTGGTGTTAAAGCACAAACCATTATCAGAATATTTGAAGAGGTCCTCCAGTAGGATCTTGCTCCACTCTTGTCTGTCGTCAAAGCTGTACAGAGCCCACTTCTTCAGCAGAGCTTCTCCGTTACCGTGGATGTCGGTGTTGAGAAGACCCGGAAACCATTCCTCCAGAATTGAATCGATGTGGTCCACCACCTGACCCAGTAACACACAGCCTGGGCCAGAGAAAACGGGGGTTAGCAAAGGAGGCGATGCTGTCATCAACTTTTGTTACGGACATGACTATCAACGACAAAATGATGATGTAGGAGTAAAAGTCCAACTTACAAATGAGGCAAAAACTAAAAAAAACTTGGACAAACAAACACCAAAGTTAATGCTCAAAAGTCCAGGTAAAAATCCAGTAATGTTCAGTCAGGTCCTCTAGATGGTTTCATTTTTTGCTGAGACGTTTCATCCTTCATCCAAAGGACTTCATCAGTCCGAGGAGCCACCAAACAAACATAGTCCCACAAACAGCACACTCCCATAGTGGAAAAAAACTATGTGCTGATACTAAGATGGCTATCACTTTATTTTCCCACTATGGATGTGCTGTTTGTGGGACTCAGTTTGTTTGGTGGTTCCTCAGGTTGAAGAAGTCCTTTGGATGAAGGATGAAACATCTCAGCAAAAACAAAAAAACAAAAAAAAAAATCAACACAAAATACATTTGTTCTTCTTTTCTTGATGTATTTACCTATTTTTAAGAAATGTAAATAAAAAAAACATTTTTTACTTTTGTACAGAAACCAATGATTTTCTCAAGATCACTAATTCACATTCACAAAGTCCCTAATTTATTTTATAGTTTATGAAAAAGAAGATTTTTATCGTGAGTGTTTATAATTGACGTGTTTTTTTCAATAGAAGTTAATTATTTCATGGTCTTGAGATGATGGAACTTGTTTTGTAAAGGTAAAAATATTTTCTACTTGGAAAAGTATGTAGAGAGGACAAGCTAAGAATATACATTCATGACTAATAAAAAATATAACGTATCAAAGCAATTAATTAAAAAAGCTCATCATATGAAGATAATGAAATAATTTGTCATCCTGAGAAACCAAAGATTTCATTTTCTCAAGCTAATGAGATAAATATCTCAACACTTGTTTCCGAGTACGTTATTCATTTTTTTATCATCTTGTATAGAAGTTTTCTCAAGTTAATGTGTTAACATAATTATTTCAACCCAAAATAAATGTAGAAGAGAAGAGGTCATACTAAGAAATTTATTTTTCTGACGTTACCTGAAGATACACACTTATGTATCTTGTCTCAAAATAGCCATCCTTTTGGCCAGTGGTTGTTTAGTTCTCGTTTACTCTCAGTCAAATTTTAATTTTAGTTAGAAAAGGCAAGACTTACCTAAAATCCTATACCTAAAGTTTAAAAACAAAACATAAAAGTATAATTTTCAGATATTTGAAACTCTTCCTCACCTTTTCTGGAGCAGGGCACAGTTATCCTGACAAAGCAGGAGGGGCTTTGCTTCTCAGAAGAAGCCTCCACCAAACAGTAAGCTTCCGATGACCAGTTTAGGTAAACACCTCTCTTCCAGTAGATTCGCTTTGGTCGAAGCACTTTCTCTGAATAGGACAAAGTGTTAGAGATTTTATAAACCCTCTGTCTTTGGTACTGAAGCAAGCAGCCACTGAGAAATTCACCTCTTCCGCATAGCAAATAAGACGAGACCTCCATCAGGCGGCTGATCAACCGAGACCAGAAATCCATGGGGAAGTACGGCATCTCGTACAGCCGCACAATCACCTCCGAGTTCTCACAGTGGGGCAGCTGTATTGCTGGTCTGTGTTCGGACAAGCTGTGAAGAAAACAGCAAGAGGTCAAAATGTGCAAGACGCAGCATTGTTGATATTTGACTCAGCTTTGGTTCGAAAGCAGCAATCCCACAAAAATCAATGTTACCTGCTGGGTACGAGAAGCTGGTCCTCGCCGAAGGGAAGAGCGATCTGAAACTTCTCCAGAAGTTTGAAGAACTGTGTCAGGTGGCTCTTTGGGAAACATTTGGTCTCACACAGAAACCTTTCCACGACAGAACGCTGCACAACTCCTTTGGATTGTTCCCAGATGACAGAGCTCTTTAACGCCAGTTTCTGCATAGAAGACGAGTCCCGTCATAAAATGTTTCTGTCTGAACCCTGAAGAAAAACTTAGCCGTCATCGATAAAAACCGGCAGCAACGTAGTGCTAAGCTAGCGGGCAGGCTGGCAACACAGACGTGACTCCGTCCCGACCCGTCAACAAAAAATAAAATATTGTATTTTTCACCCTATAAGTCACTTTTTTTTTGGTTGCTTAATTTGCATGCCCTGTGACTTATATGCCAAAGCGACGTATTTATGGATTTTTTTTCCATATTTATAAACCAATTTTTGGCTGAAATATGACCATTTTCATTCATTCTGACTGAAAATATTGAACACTACCATTTTCAGCCACTGGATGGCACCAGAGTTGTAAGGCATGCTGTTGTATCATGTAATAGGCAAAAGTGGCTATTAATGACAAATTCCAAAAAGTTCAAGAAAAAAAAAACAACTGGACTTTATTTATTATACTTTATTGTTTTTGTCTTTAACTTTTTTGAATTTACCATGTCCTGGATGACTGAGAATCTTCACCAGCTATTAATGACAAAATCGGCTTGCCATACAGAGCCACCTTCATTCTGCTCGCTGCTTGGAGCAACTGCCACCAGCTTCAATTCACTGCGCCGCCCCGGCGAAATGCAGCTAATTTGACCATTAAAGTGCATTTATCAAGTAAAAGTTCAACTGAGACACACCTTTGCTATAATTTCAAGCAAACAAATAATTGTTTTAGGAGCTTATCTTGTTATATTTCGAAGAAACGCACAGCGTTCTTCCTTCCTTTTGTCCTCCCTGTCTGCGCGCTCCCGGGAGCACCAAGGCAGTGAATGCTTTTGAAATACAGCTGATTTGACCGTTAAAGTCCTTTCACTAAGCAAACATTGGACTGAAAAACACCTTTACTATAAAGTTGAGCAAACATATAATTGTTTTAGATGTTTATCTTGTTAAATTTCAAAGAAACGCACAGCAACTTGTCCCTCTGCACATTCCGCGTATCGGCTTTTAAAATACAGCATATTTGACCGTCAAAGTGCATTTATTAAGCAAAAGTTAGACTGAGACACACCTTTACTATAATTTCGAGCAAACAAATAATTGTTTTAAGCGTTAATCTTGTGAAATTCTTGTTAAAGTCCTCCCGTGCACGCTCTCACAGTCGCCATTTAGCAGCCAAACGATTTTCGGTACAACACCGTGCCTGGCCCATATTTCCGGGTTGTCAGCGGTGACACGTAACAAACGCGACGTGTCAACGGTGACGCGTAATAGAGGCGATGTATACGGCGAAGCAACATTTTTATGGATTTTTCCACTTTATTAGACATATTTGGACTGATGAGACTTATAGAGCGGAGCGACGTGTACGGCGGAAAATACAGAACACGAGCACCCCGCCAAGAGAACTGAACCAGGGGAAACACTGAAAAGGATTATAAAAAGAATGAACCGGATAATTGAGCCCTGGGGAACGCCAAAGGTATCTTCGGACAAATGTAGCATATTTTTTAGTTTGTTCAAACAGAGTGCAGCTGGAGAGGTTTGATGTTAACTTAGTGGGTAGAACGTGGTGAGATCATTGGAAACTGGGCAGTAAAGAAGTACATGAAAGGGTGTCGAAAGTCAAAGTCAAATGGTAAAGAATGAAAATAAAAATATTAAAGATACAAAAAACAGGTCTTTTTAAATACTAACTTGAGAGAGGACATTGCAGAGCCACGGTGGGTCAATAAAATAGACTTCTTGAAGCTGAAGTGCAGGATCGTCAAAGTGTAGCAAAATCCCTAAAACAAAACATCGTGTCCAAATGTTCATCCAAAGGAGGTCACAAATTAATAAAGACATGCATCATCAGCAAACTGCAATGGAACTTTTAAGCTTAATATATAGCAACTCAATGAAAAATTAGGCTAAATTGCTAATTATTCATGATGCAATAACAAGTCCAGACAACAACGACAGACTAAAAACAATACTTTTTCCAAAAGCATGCATTCATTTAAATAGTTAATTGTTCAACATTAAGGATCCCAAAAGTTTATAACTCATTAGAATCTTGTGCCAACAAGGTAAGCCTTGAACTTAACTGACCAACTTCCCTGAGGAAATGGATGGCGTGAGGCAGTTCAGTTTCCTCCAGCTGCAGCTGACTCTCCTGGATGATCTGCAGAAGTTCGCTGCGCCAGAGGACAGGGAACTCGGGGGAGACCTTGGTCCTCTCTCGAAGGACACTACGCTCCAGCTCCACATAGCTGTCTGGCACCAGCTGACCCATGACCTGCTGGCCTTGGATCTGTGAACAAACAGCAGATGAGTTCTGAGGCACAGGAAAGATGGGAAATAAAATGTTTAATTTCCAGTTTGCTTCCTTTTACCTTGAAGCCGGTGACCTCCCTGATGATGGCTTTGCGGAGTTTGACGATGGACTCCGAGTCCTCACAGAAAGTGCCCATGTGATGATCTTTGACGGTCGGGAAGCCCTGATGGTTCAGAAGCTCCTGTCGAATTTTGCTCAGGCAGGCTTGGAGCTGCACCTCCTCGCTCACATCTGTGTGAGTTCCCACGAGGACGACCGGGGACATGGGAGCTACTGCCTGAAGGAGAAGAGCAGGGATTATTTTCAAACCTAACAGAAAACATCAAAGTTCGTGTTCAATAATCCAGGTAAAAAACAAAGTTCAGTCAGATCATCTGGACGGTTTCTTTTTTTGTTGAAGATTATTGAACATGAACTTTGATGTTTTTAACCACTTGGCTACAGCTGTTTCAGAGGAGTCAACAGGGGACATGGCGGGCTCCAAAAACCATCTCATCACCAGCAAACTGGTTGATCCTCTATGTGAGTGTGCTGCTTGTGGGATTGACTTTGTTGTGACTCCTCCGACTGATGAAGTCCTTTGGATGAAGGATGAAACATCTCAACAACAACAAAAAAAATAAACCATCCAGATGACCGGACTGAACATTGTTGGGTTTTGAACACCTGGTTTGGCTTCATGTCAGACCACCACCAACCACACGTTACTTACCAAGAACCCATATTTAAAGACTCACAAAGACAGTTCCAGCTCTTCAAAGACTGACATTAATGAGGGCGATGGCATGACTAGTCCTGACACTCTGCTAAAGAACTCATCAGACTCCGAATCAGAACGTGAAGACGGTATCAGAGACTGGAAGGAGAGCAGGGCTCCTGAATCAGAGAAAGTTCACCTGGACCTGCCATTCTGTGTCCGTTTCTCCTTCCTGTCCTCTCAAACCCAGCCGGTCGAAGCAGATGGCCACTCGTCCCGAGCCTGGTTCTGCTGGAGGTTTCTTCCTGTTAAAAGGGAGTTTTTCCTTTCCACTGTCTCCTTTGTGCTCGCTCAGGATGAGAGACTGTGATGAAGTGAAGATTCAACACAATCTGCTGCTTCCTTAGACAGACAATGCTTACAAATTGGCTTTTATAACGTATGTGAATGTTTCTGTTCAGTGCCCTGAGAAAACTTCTGTTGTGACTTGGAGCTAAAGAAACTGAATTGGACTGAATTGGTTTGGAGGATTTTCTAATGTTCTTTTTTGCAAAAGCCTCTCAAGCTCAGTCCGGTTGGATATGGACCATTGGTGGAGCCATTGTCAGGTCTCTCCAGAGAGGTTCAAAGGGTTCAGTTCAGCTCTCTGACTGGTCCACTCTAGAACATTCACAGAGTTGTACTTTAGCCACTCCTGTTTTGTCTTCTATGTGCTTTGGGTTGTTGACATGTTAGAAAGCAAACCTTCGATCTAAGATCAAGCTTTGTGGGAAAGTTTTCTATAGAGGATATCTTTGTACTTTGCTCCATTCAGTTTTTCCTCAACCCTAACCAGTCTTCCAGTCTCTGCTGCTGAAAAACATGTTAACATCATAATGCTGCCACCACCGTGCTTCACTGTTGGGATAGGGATGAGTGTTACCAGATTTCCTCCAGAGATAACGTTTTAAACCAAACAGTTCAAGCTTGGTTTTATCAGAGTGGAGAATCATGTTCTTCGTAGTCAGAGAATTCGTCAAGCTGGTTTTGTCATGTGTCACACTGGAAGTGCAATGGAAGTGAGCCAGTACCATAAAGCTCAGACCAGTGGAGGCCTGCAGTTCTGGTTGTTCTTCTGGAACTTAGCCCCATCTCCACACAGGATCTCTGAAGCTGAGTGACGGTCAGGTTCTTGGTCACCTCTCTTGATGATGCTCTTCTCCTTTCAGTGTGGTTGGACCACCAGCTCATGGAAGAATCTTAATTATACAAGCTTTTTCTATTAGAAAATAATGTGCTCATTGGAATTTTCACTGCAGCAGATATTTTTTCTCTACCCTTCCATAGATCTGAGCCTTGCAAAAATCCTTTCTCAGAGCTCTGCATGCAGTTCGTTTGACTTCATAGTTTGATTTTTGCTCCAACTGTAAATGCTAAATGGACTGCACTTATAGCACCTTTCTATCTTATCAAGATACTCAAAGTTCTTTACAACACAATCTGTGCCTTCATTTACCCATTCATACAGCACTCTACTGTATCTGTACAAAGAATAATCAATGCTTTATTACATTCTTACACCGATCAGACATACATGGGAGGCAAGGAGGGGTTCAGTGTAGGGATGCATATTATCTGCATGGTACTGGTATCGGCCTATATTAGTGATAAAGTTAAATATCGGACATAGTCCATTCCATCAAAATAACTCACCGATATAAAAGGCACTGTTTATATATGGCGCTGTTTTTGTATGACAACCCCGTGACAAGGATGCCTGCAGCGCCAGCATGTTATGACATCACGCGGACCATTGAGTTTTGATTTGTGAAAATGTACATATTTGCACTGTTCAAGTGTTGTCATTGTGTTAGAGAGAGTAAATGTCATGAATAAATTTGACATTAAACATGATCCAAGTTGAAGTGTTGGATCATGTTCAGCCCCCTTTTTGGCATCTGCATTTGGCAGCAGGCCAAATTGACAAAGACCATGCCGAATAATGTAGTATTTTAATTCCGCAGCAGAGAAAGCTATGTAGTCTCTGTAAGTAGGTCTAGGGAAAAAATATTGGTATTGGTATCGGGTATCAGCCAAATAAGTTTTAACATATCGACCAAAAATCCAATATCGTGCTAGTTCAGTGTCTTGCCAAGGGACACTTCGGCATGTGACTGCTGGTGGAATCAATCCCCCAACTCTTGCACTGGAGGACAACTGCTCTAACCACTCAGCCACAGCCACCCATCTGCTCAGAGGCCTTCACTAGAGAGTTGAGCGCCTTTTCAATTCATGTCTGAAAATTTTTATTTAGCCACAAATGAACTTCAACGTTTAGAATCACCTCAGATGGACCAAAATGAATAGGAGGCACTTTAGCTAAATATCAAGTGTTGCTGTAATAGATCCAAATAATAAATATGTAGATGTTATATTTCCCTTTTTTTTTATTTTAATGTTTACAAAATTTTATAAAACTGTTTCTAACTTGGTCATCATGGGGTATTGATTATAGCTTCCATGATGCAACACGGTTAAATGTAAGGGAGAACCTGAAAACTTTCTGAAGCCGCTGAATGTTTAACTGGGGTTTATGGCTCACTTTGATGTTGAAGAGCCATGGTTTGAGAGCATCCACCTGACTGGCTCCTTTGCTGATGTTGTACACCACCAAGTAGACAGCTCTAGATGTCAGAAAGTGCGAGTGGAAGCCGCTGAAGTCCTCTTCACCTGCAGGGTAAAGAGATGAATCTCCAACTACATCCTTTAAAACCGACAAACCAGCATTTTATTCCTTTACAACACAAGACTTCCACACTTTTTTTCTGTACTTGTCAGTTTTCACATGCAGGCTGACCTGAAAAGTCCCAGACATTAAGCACCATTTTCTTCCTGTCTCTTTCCCTGATGGTCCAGTCGAAGACCTCAACACCCACAACGCTCTCCTTGGAGTTCGGCTGAGATCGCTTCAGCTTCATCAGCTGCCTGATCAGGGTGGTCTTCCCACTGCCGGCGTTCCCCAACACAATGAGCTTCATGCGGTAGTAGGGCACGGCTTTTTTCAACCGCTGCTGTAGGAACCTAAGAGATCGGACCATATACTGCAGATGAATAAATAGTGTAACATTAATAATTGTAATGTTTGTTTACATTTTGTGAGAAATTGTCTGTGTCTTTGGTTTTTATGTGTGTAAGTTTGTTTTAATTGGTGTTGGGTTTGTCAATTGTGTGGAGGGAGCCAGCAAAATGGTAGCTCAATTAGTTTTAACACGTGTTATCACTTTGTTTGACAACAACCGTCATGTATATTGCATCTAATGAAGTGTACTGTGATATAAAGGAGTCTCATTCTGACCTGACTATGTCTTTAGTCTTGTTGCCGATGAGTTTGAGGTCCAGCTCCAGTTGAAGGCCGTCCAGCGGCAGGTCCCACAACCTGCTCAGTTTTCCCATTTCATCTGGGAAGGATCGCAGGCTTGAGTTATGACTCACATCCAGAGAGGTTAGGCCTTCCAACAAGCCAATTTGTGGGGGGATCTGACACAAAACAACACAACAAAGAAAGGTTGGTCCACTTCTCTAATCTGTTGTTTGTACCCTGAGCAGTCTGCTGCACCTCAGTTAACTTGTTGCCACTCAGATGGAGTTTCTCCAGTCTAGCCCACGTTTCGATTGCTTCACTCAGATCCAGATCTTTGATGCAGTTGTGACTAAACATCAGCTCCCTAATGTTACTGGACTTCCAGGACCCCGGGCCAGGCAGAACAGAAATGTTGTTGGTCCTCATGTCCACTGATTGTAAGCTGGACAGTCAGGAAAAAAATATGACTCATGAAAAGCAGAAACCAATAAACTGACAAAAAAAAAGTTTAATAAAGACAAAAACCATTAATTAACTCTGAGGGACGTACTTTGGGAGATCAAGTATGTCCTCGGGAATGTGAGTGAAGCTGTTGTTGGCTAATTTCAGAGTTGTGAGCTTGGCTGGCAACTTAGACAGGAAACCTGAAGGAAAAAGTAAATTATGTTCATGTCAATTTATCAACTTATAGGAACTTGGACTAACTCTCCTCGTCTCTACTGAGTCACACGGTATAGATCGAGCCCATTGTTGCTAAAAAAATCTTTTTTACAATGCTGCAAAGTTTGCAAAAACGAATTTTGACTCTTTTGCAAATGTTTGAAGTTCAGTCATCAGATCACCATCCTACATCTAGATAGCATGCTGCTGAATGTAGCTTTTCAAGGACAGGCAGTTAATTTTTAAAACGTGTAAGTTATGCCTAGGCATATAATTTTATTAAGATAGCTAAAACAAATTAAACCATATCTCAACAATAATAAGACGAAAACATGATATTCATACTACGTTTACGGGTGTCAATTCTGAGTTAGTGGACCAAATTTGAAAATCATAGGGAGCGCAATAAACCACAGCAAATTTTCCCACAAAAAGGGCTAAAGGACTACTTGTGAAATTTTCCACTGACCTTTAGAAAAATGCCCTCAGCTTACACCTAAAAGGTAATTCAGTACAAGTGGGCATGGCCTATATGGTCTTAAAGAAAAAAAAAATCACAAAATCAGTCATGGAGCCTAAACCATAAGAGATTATGAGAGTTTTTCATATATGCTAATTGCTATAGTACTGAATACATACATTTATCTACCTATAGGTGGTACAAGTGGTATAAATAAAACCTTTTGGCCTGTATCTCCTATATTGTTAACCCCATCAATAAGTACTTTTTTACCCCTTAATTATTCATATGTACTGCTTTTTTTTTTACTATGGTAAATGGACTGTACTTATATAGTGCTTTTCTATCTTATCAAGACATTCAAAGCTCTTTACAACACAATCTCTGCCCTCACTTACCCATTCATACAGCACTCTACTAGATCTCTACAAAGACTTATCGGTGCTTTATCACATTCATACATCGAAGGGACACACATTGGAGGCAATGAGGAGTTCAATTTCTTGCCCACAAACACTTCAGCATGTGACTGCTGGTGGAATCGAACCCCCAGCTCTCCCGTTGGAGGACGACTGCTCTAACCGCTCAGCCACAGCTGCCCCCTATGGAGAAGTTTATTTTGAAAATGTACTGTTGGATATGCAAACTGACAAAATATGCTAAACCTTTAAAAACGATCTCCTCCAAGGGTTCACATCCAATAAGCACAAAACGTCATATACAGTGTTTCTCCTACCATTATACAAGGAGGGCGCCCCGCTCTGTCAACAGAACCAAGCGCCCTGCCTACCAAACTTTTTCCATCAAACACCCGTCACACAGTAATGGGTTCACTTCTCACCCTACTTCCACTTCATTAAACCTCAAAAGCCAGTGATGTCAAAATGTGGACATGCTGGGAGTTTTTGTTGCTACTGGTCCTTAATTATTTGTTTATTTAATGTATGATTTGTAACCTTTACTAAATAGAAACTGTGAAGTTCAGAACTAATTTCGTTGCGATATAATAAAACCAGTCGTATCAGATTCTTCTCATAATACTCACAGATTTTGTTCATGGAGGTGTTGAGAGTTTCCAGTTTGGGGAAGCCGGTCAGGAAGTCAGGAGAAATATTCTCCATGTTGTTTTTGCTCACGTCCAGCAGCTTGAGCTCAGGCAGACATGCAGTTGTGCAGAGTTCAGTCATACAGTTACTGCAGAAAAAGCAAGTGCAAAAAAAAAAAAAAAAAAAGGTTTTACTGAGCTGTAGTTTTTCACAAAATAATTCTGGAAACAACTTGGAAAATGAGAAATCGTTTGGTTTTTGGAAACTACAACATTTGACTGAAACAGAATGGTCCTAATAGGATTTACAACAAATGTTCAGTTCAGACGCTCCAAATCTGAACTTATGACTCAGTTCTGATCCGGGTACAACTATCACCTACCCTTCCATAATCAGCTCTTCCAATTGCTCCATGGTCAAGCCCAGCTCATGGGGGAACGTGGTGATTTCGTTGTATGAAAGGTTGAGTTGCTTCAGAGACGTGCAGGTAATAGCAAGGTCAAAGGTCAACACGGGACCGAGGCAGTTACGAGAAACATTTAGTGTGCTCAACGAGGGCAGAGACAGCAGCTTCTCGGACAGCGACTGAAGCTGGTTGTTCTGCAGGTCCAGTCGAGTCAGGTTTTGTAAACTCTGCCAAAACAAAAAAACAGAAAAAAGATTGAGAAGCTTTTTATTGTAGCGTCCCTCCAAGGTCCAGCAAAAGACAAACCGTCCGTCCAAAAGACAGACCCCCTTCTCTGTGTGTTAAATCTACAGTTCAGCTCGACATCCTGGACCACACTGCCTGTATTATAATTAACTCTCTGCACTAATTAACCCTCTTCTCTGAGTGGCAGACTTTAGTATCCGAAGAGAAATCTCTAAAAGTATGAACTTTACCCTACTCACAGGGACTGTCATTGCCATGGTAAAGAAAGAAGTTACCCCCCTAGTTGGACAGAGCTTCAACAAATGTCTTCGTAACAATGAGGTGTCAGGATCAAACTTGCATTTTGCTAAAAGAAATTGTGTTTATGTAAAACAAGGTGTTGCCATTATCAGCAAAAGCTATTGTGTTTCCTCATGTAAAGACTTTGAGGGGAAGGTATAATTAAATTAATTTATGCAGTTCTTGTTTATGCCCACGGGTTGGGAGCTGGATGTTCATTGGTTAAGATCAGGGGGCACGACCACTTCTGATGTGTCAGGTAAACGAACACCAGAGGTCAGTTGTTGTCAGGAGTTGTTGAGATGAGCGGTTGCTGAAAGTTGTTGAAGAGAGTTGCAGAGAAGAACTCTCTTGAAGAAGCAGCCATGATGGAGAGAAGTCCTTAAAATGCTCAAACACCCTGAAGAGTGATGCCCGGCTGGACCCTACTACATGGCCCTGGGGAAAACAACCCTCTGGTAAAAGCATGGACCTCCAGCAAAGTCATCATATCCGCCGTGGTAATGAGAAAATGGACAACTCCCTGGTAGGACGAAACGTCTTCCATCTAATGAAAAAACAACTAAGTGCCAACTGAGTTTATACATAATTTAGTTCACGAATCTGAGATGAAGCTACCTAAATGTTAACGTTAGAGCTAGAACCATAGTCCAAATTCAAAATACTCTCAAAGGCTCTATTATTTACGTCATTCACTTTATGAAATAATGCTATTGGTTATTCAATTCAATTCAGTTTATTTATATTGCGCCAAATCACAACAAAGTTGTCTCAGGGAACTTTACAGGAACATTCACATAAAAGCCAATTAGTAAAGTTCTCTATCTAAGGAATCCAGCAGACAAGTTGAATCTTGGCTTCGTTGCAGTCTCCCATCCTGAGCAAGCACAGTGGCAACAGTGGAAAGGAAAAACTCCCTTTTAAAAGGAAGAAACCTCCAGCAGAACCAGGATCAGGACGAGCGGCCATCTGCTTTGACCAGCTGGATTTATATTTCATATTTACCATATTGTCATTATTCAAACTGAACATAAACATTACAGAATTGTGCATTTAAATTACCGGATTCTTTGTCTTGTCTTCAAGAGAGGGGGATTAAATTTGTTACAAGGACTCACGTATATGTTTTGGGGTTGAGGCCGGTCAACATTTATTAGATAACTTTGAACAGTTAGCCTAAACACCTGCTTAGGTGCTCAGACAAGCCTAACCACTACATTATTATTGCGACCTCGTGCTGCCTCTGTTCTGTTCTCTTACTTGGCAGACAGCTGAGGGAAACTCCAACAGACTGTTGTGGCTCAGATCCAAGCGTAGGAGATACCAAAGCTGCTGCTGGACAAAAGCATCGTCCATTAAGCAGTGCAGAGAGTCCAGTTCGTTCCCTGACAGGTCCAGCAGGCGGATTCGTTCCTTTTCTTTAGGCAGACCGGCAGAGTTCTCACCAAACCCCAACGCTGATAACAGAACATGACTGTTAGTGAACACTCAGTTTATACCAAACTGTCAAAGCAGCAGCTCTTAATTCACTTTGAAAAGGCAAAATACTTAAAATTTAAATGATATGGCATATCCCCATTTTCACCAAAAACAACCAGAAAAGTTAAAGAATATTTACCATTTGCATCTAAAGTTGGAAAAATGGAGTTTAGTTGTACTGATCCAAGTGCAGTTACCTTTAGGAGTTGAAACGCTCCTTCCGTATCTTCTGTGACTAAGCTCACCATTTTCATTTGCAGCTGGACCACTCTGGATGGAACAAAAGATGAATGGAAGCTAACAGTCACATGTGCAGTGCTTTGACACAATCTAGTGAATAAAGGACTAAAAATTTTTAAATTTTACTGTCAAAACAAAAAGGAGTGAATGTTGATGAGTAAGTTATACCTCTGCGCTGGTGTGTCTGTGATGAGCCTGTTTCCGTTTGAGGGACTCCCACCTCAGAAAATCCTCTGATGCATCGTTACAAAAGTTTGGAGAGAGAATGCCTGAAAATGAATCACTTCCTAAACAAAGTAAGGCACAAAAACAACATGTTAACTCAGTGCTCCTGATCAACACATCAACTAAATGCACACCATGATGTCATCAGACTGTACACCATGATTTTAATTATTGGAACAGGTCAACTCACTGTTGTCTACATCAAGGGTTCTCGAACTTTTTGGGTTCAGGGACCCCTTCATAACCCTCATGTTTACTACAATTTTTATATCCTTAAACGGGGTATTTTTCATTGAAGACATTTAATTAACAAAATTTTTTATTTCAACTTCCAAACAATTAGAGTTTTGAGAAAACTAATAGTATCAAAAACCACTTTAAACTTTACCTGTTCACATAATGAACATATCGGTAAATGTATTGCCACCTCTTCAAATTATTACAGAAAACTTTTTACATAAACCTGAACAGAATCATAACAGCAGTAGTCATACCAAGTAACAGGGCTTCATTTGTAAACCGATCGATACCGAAACACAAATAGCGGGCGGGATGGCAGGGGGAGCAGTGTCTGGGGGTCCTCCCCCAGAAAATTTTCAATTAAGTTAATGTGATTTCCTGCACTTTGGTGTATTTAAATATCTACGTCAGGGGTGCCCAATATGTTGATCGCAATCTACCGGTTGCTCACAAAGGCATTATGGGTAGATCACATGGCATTAAGAAAATAGACGTCAGCCTATCATCTATCCTCACTATGAAATTTGTCACTTGATTAACATACAGGGCAGCCAGTCACAGCCCTCATTCTCTCTAACCTGGTCTCAGAGTGGAGATTTTCGGGGGAACCCCACCCATCCCCCGTGTGTGAAGTCGCACATGCGCACTACAGGCGGCTGCAGTCCAGAGTTTTTCTGCACTAACAACAGTTGTAATAAACAGCAGAGAGCAGAGTGTTTTTGTGCTACTCACCCCTTTTCAGAATGTAGGAGCAAAACTAATAAAATCCAGGGTCCAAAGAAATGTAACTGTCATGCCGATGCTGCATGCGCGATGAATGCAGCTGAGCCCGGCATCGAGGTTGCCAGATAAATTTAAAATGTCTTATTTGCCCCCTCCTTTTCTGTGCACATGTTCAACAAACACAACACACACCTCATCTTAGAATATCTTTACTCAGCACATATGACCGTTTAGATCAAAATACTAACATTTTAAAGCCACAGGACTATAGTTCATAATTTCTTATCTGGCAACGTGACTGAAATGGAAACTACAGTATTTTTTGTGTAAACCCACTCATTTTTTTATTTATTTTTTGTTTATTACACAAATAAACACTGAAAAAACACTAGTTTCCAGAGGTTGTTCTCGTGTAAACATGGCCTTATAGTAGGTAGATCACTTTGACTTGGTCATTTTAAAAGTAGCTCGCATGCTGAAAAAGTGTGGGCACCCCCGATCTACGTGCTTGTAAAAAAATTATATATATATATATATATATATATATATATTTTTTTTTTTTTTTTTTTTTTCTTGGGGGGGATCCTCAAGCACTGGCTCACGGACCCCTGGGGCTCCGTGGACCCCATATATGAGAACCACTGGTCTACATTCCCTTGTACATTTGACCAAATCCCAGTTAAGGTATCTGCAGGTTTTGAGATTGTTTTTTATGAGTTTGTTGTCTTTCTTCTTCTTTTTTTTTTTTTTTTTACTTCTGTCTCTGTGGGATGAAGTAAAGTTCTGATCCTGTGCATTTTAAAACTTGGACCTTCACACTTCCAAGTTTTAACGCAAAACTTCTATAAATAAAGAATAGAAGTCCAGATGCTTTATTTTTTAACCTTTGGAATTCATCATGACAGAATTTCCATCAGCAGTATAATGTTATAATATAATCCATGGGCTTTTACTCTATTTACTTTTGTAAAATGTATATACAGTACCTATATAAACATGTTTACCTACAACCGTATATAATGTAGTGTCATCATCATATATTAGATATTACAGAGCAGTGAGCTGAAATCACAGTGCAGAGAGTTTATTTAGATTTCATAAGGTGATGTTGCCGTGAGTCGACATAGACCATATTTCTCCCCATTTGTCCAGAAATGACTGGTACAGTACAGTTTCAAGCCTGGTTTTTAATAATCATTTAGGGTGTTATTTTGTTTAAGAGCAAAACATATCAAGTCTTTGTGCCGATGAAGCCTCCTGGGCCTGAGTTTTCTAATGTCCCTTTAGTGAGGATTAATGATCCAAAACTACAGTAGAGTCATTTCACATTGTGCTGAATGCACCCAGAAATACAAGGATAGAACCACTTTAACCCCTAATTTTGCTATGGGAACTGAAAATAAAAACAAGCATCTGTGAGCACGAGACTTGAATCATTATCTCTTAAACGTTACCATCACTCTCATCCATGTCGTCATTGATAAACAAGCTGTCATCTGCAGAGAAAGAATTAAAGCTGGAGTCATCGCTCTCGTCAGAAATGTAGCCAGACGTCAGACACTGGTCAGACATCAGTCTGGAAAAACCGCTGATGCTCTTTGACCTCCAGAAAGACTGTACGTACTTCGCCAAACTGATCCCTTTACCTTGAAAACAGAAAACAGGAATGTCTAAACCAGAGCCACAACTTGTTTCACTGTCCGTTAGGATCTCAGATATTTGTTTTAACAAGCCAAGCTCCTAAACAACACCTGAGAAACATTGCTCATCAGAATCAAAGGCTGGAAAACAAACTGATCCAATCTAAAATCCACTCATCTTCCTTACTGTTGTAATTTAGACTAGGAATTCTGCCTTGCTCAGCCAGCAGGGGGCTCAGCCAAGAGGCATCCAGCCTGCCCAGTCTAAAGCCCCCCAGGCAGAGAGCGCTGTTGTTCAGGTCCAAACCCAGTCGACTGAGCAGCAGGATGACGGTCGGTCCATCGCCCCTCTTCACACTCACAGCCAGGGCCCTGCGGAGGTGCTGCTCGTGAACGCCTCGGCTCAGCAGGAGCTCCACCAGCTCCAAGGGTCCACCTTTCTCACGCATCTGAAAAGTCACAAGTACAGAAGCCGGGCTGTAGTACCACTTCATCAAAAGCTACAAGTTTCCAATCTGAGCTGAAATAGGGTTTTCTAACCTCACCTGATAAATGAGAGACTCGTTCTTTGTCTTTCTGGTGACGTCGGAGCACAGTTCGATCAGGCACCCTGCCATTGTCATGTCTCCGTCCATGCAGGCTTTTTCCAACATTTTGTGGTGAACATCTGAGTCGCACAACATCTTAGACATGGCCCAGCACGCCAGTTTCCCAAGCTGATGGCAAGCAGAAAGAGAAAGACATTCCAGGTGTCTTAACGTAACGTCACAAGGAGAAAAATTAATTAATTAATTATCTGAACTTTTTTTTAAATATATGTCTATGTCTGAGCAGTGACTTAGACCATCCAGTTGATAATTTTACAACTATTTTGCAAACTTCACTTGGTAAAGCTGCTCCGCTGAAAAGAAAAATAAAATAATCAATCAGAGGAGATTAGCTCCTTGGTTCAATTCTGACTTACGTACTTTAAAAATGTCTAGAAAACTAGAAAGAAAATGGCGCTCCACTAACATTGAGGAATCTTACTTATCCTGGAGAGATAGCCTGCTAACGTATAAAAATGTACTCCGTAAAGCTAGAACTTTATATTATTCATCTGTAATTGATGAGAATAAAAATAACCCCAGGTTCCTTTTCAGTACCATAACTAGTCTAATGAAAAATCCTCTCTCTGTTGATTCATGTATCCCTACAACTATAAGCAATGAATAGTTCACGAGAGTCTTTATAAATAAAATTGTTTCAATTAAGGAAAAATTTCAAACCAACATTTCTAGTATCGCCTCTGGTTCTGTGTCAGACGAGACAACTTTAAAAATGTCACTAGAACCTGATTAATGTTTGGATTGTTTTTGTCGCTTTCTGAATTGTCAAAAATAATAACCTCATCCAAACCATCCACATGTCTGCTAGATCTCATCCCAACCAGACTGTTTAAAGAGGTATTTCCCTTAATTAATGACCCAGTCTTGGATCTGCTTAATTTGTCTCTAATAAATGATCACGTACCACAGAGCTTTAAGATTGCTGTAATTAAACTTTTACTTAAGAAACATAACATTGACTCAGGAATCCGAGCCAATTATAGACCTACATCTAATCTAAATTTCATCAAAAAAAATTCTAGAGAAAATAGTTGCTGCTCAGTTAAGTGATCATTTGCAAATAAATAATCAGTTTGAAGAGTGTCAGTCAGGGTGTAGAGCTCACCACAGCACTGAAACTGCACTGGTGAAAGTTACTAATGATATTCTCATGGCCTCTGACAATGGACAGGTGTCTACACTGGTCCTGGCAGACCTCAGTGCTGCATTTGATACAGATGATCATAATATTATATTACAGAGACTTGATGTTGGAATTACAGGAACGGCTCTAAATTGGTTTAAATCATATATATCTGATATATTCCGATTTGTAAATGTAAATAATGAATCTTCATCATACACCAACGTTAGTCATAGAGTTCCTCAAGGTTCAGTGCTTGGACCACTACCCTTCACCTTGTATATGCTTCCATTAGGTAAGTTAATAAACAGCATGGGATACATTTCCATTGTTATGCTGATGACACACAACTATATTTGTCCATTAAACCCAATGAATCCAATCAGCTACTTAGACTACAAACATGTCTTAAAGACATAAAAACCTGGATGACCCTATCCCCCACATTAAAAACGTTACGCCTTCTTCCACCTATGTAATATCTCTAAAATTAGAAACATCTTATCTAAAAATGAAGCAAAAACTGGTTCATGCATTTGTCACGTCTAGACTGGACTACTGCAATGGTTTGTTATCTGGATGTCCAAATTCTTCTTTAAAAAATCTTCAGTTAATCAAAATGCTGCTGCCAGAGTCTTAGCTGGAGTTAGTGGGAGATATCATGTCTCTCCAGTTTTAGCTTCTCTCCACTGGTTCCCTGTCAAGTCCAGAATTTAATTCAAAATCTTACTTCTAACCTACAAAGCTCTCAACAACCTAGCTCCATCTAATATTTGAGATCTTATTGTTCCATATTGAGCACTTCACTCTCATTTTTCCTCACAGACAAAACCCAAACACACACACAGAGACAATTACATGATCACCCGCCTGCCAGGGCAGTGAGTTAAAATAAAAAATAAAAAACAATCACTCAGTACTATAAACTGTAGCTGCTTCAAATATAGTACATACATGAAAATTATTCAAGTGCTATTTTTAGGCCAAGTGTATTTTATGTCTCTACAAACTTTATTTAGTAAAATTTTTGACAATTTTTCTTTTAAATGTAAGGGTTGCAGACACTTAACCTGGAGAAAGATTCTTAAAAAGGTTATGTTTAGTTTCAGATGAAACATTTTACCATCTGCAAATAAAGATTAAACTCAAACAGCAGGAACTGCAAGAAATTTAAGCATACATTCTATATATTTTTTCAGTTTTCAAGCAACTTATCACTTTAAAAATTTAGCAAAGGGGGAAACTGATCTTTAAGATGTAACGTTTTGTGCCAAATTTGAAAAATGTCCACAAACTTGAGTCCTCCCCTCAAAAGGATGCATCTCTGTCTGACGGTGGTTGAACTCACTGGACTTGTGCTCGGGTCGCTCTCCTTTCTAAGGAGCTGGAAGATCTGTCTGTCAAAGTCTTTCGTCAGCAGCTCAGCTGCAGCCGCTGAGCAGGCATCCAGCATCCTCAGTGCCACCTGAAAACACTACAACACACACAACTGTCATAAGATGTATGATCTGAAGATCTTAAGCTAGTTGTATTACTATCACACAAGCAAAACAAAAAAACTTCCATCTGCAAAGAAGCTTCAAAGTGGTTTAACAGTATTAGCACTGCAGCGTCCTCCTATTCCTCGGTCTTTCATTCAAGTGTAAAACACACAGTTGCATCAGGTTATTATTCCCACCAACCCCTCAGTTAACCTTCAGCAGCATCTCAGGGTCTTGTCCGTACTGACGGAGGGAGGCAACGACAACAGAGGCCAGGACAGGAACGATCATCCTCGAGAGTTTCCTCTTCGACACGAGGTGGCTGAGCAGGCTCAAACCACAGTAGTGTATCTCTGAGAAAATACAGAAACATTCAAATGTTTTGAACGTCACAATCCTTCAACTGAGCATTGGGCTCGAGTTCAGGTTAATTTTTTCTGTTCAGTGCCCTGAAATGACTTCTGTTGTAACTTGGCGTTATATAAATAAACTGAATTGTAATTTTTTTTCTTGCAGTTAATAGCAAATTAAGCAGATTTTATTATAATAATTAAAAGAAATATACACAACTTCAATTTAGAAAGTAGTAACTGGACATAAATATAGAAGATGCTCAGCATAACTAAAGTTCTTCCAGTCCTCAGATTTAAAAAAATAAAAACAACTAAAACATCAGTGCTGAAGGCAACCATGTTACAATAACCTAACCTCATACAGGAGAAATAAACAGCTAAAAATCTGGTTATATCTATTTTAACCTACTATTTAAAAAATCTGTTTCCTTAATGAGATAGATATGAAAGCTAAACATTTGTCAGAAACAATAATTAAATACGTGTAGCAATCATAAAGGATGAAATAAGCAGAGCAAGAAACTAAACTTTACATTAACCAGGACAAATAAAACATTTACTTTATCAGTTTATATATCAGCCAGCACAAATGAATTAAATACGACTCTTTTATAAGAGAAGATTAATGATTTATGGTTTAATTCAGTTTTCAATTTAGTTTATTCATATAGCGCCAAGTCACAATAGAAGTCATCTCAGGGCACCGAACAGAAACATTAATTTATATAAAAAGTAAGTTAACATTATTTTAAACATTGTTGAAACACAAACTATCAAATAAATTACGAATCGTTCATAAGTGTAGTGTTCTTGTGCAGCTGAACTATATTTTCTCTGGTAATGTGAGCCATGTACCTCTCTCTGTCGGGAACATGTGCAGTGTGTGCAGCACCGTGTCTATCGCCCCCTGCTGGCAGAGCAGGTCCACTGCACCAGAGCAGTCAGTCAGAGAGGTCAACACCTTCAGTCCAACCTGCTGTATGCTGCAGCTGCTGATGAACTATAAACAAACACACACACATACATATTATATATATATATATATATATATATA